TACATGACTCAAACCCAGAAGAAATTGAGATTGATTTTGAAACACTCAAGCTATCCACACATAAAGAGCTTGAATACTATGTCCTATCCTGCCCGCAAAAGAAACCTTGGAAACCCTACATTATTAAGAAACCTGTTGGAAAGAAAAGAAGGAACTTGCTTTGGAGAAGAAATAGTAACTAAAAAAGAGCTTCCAGGACATCAGAGGGCAGCTCAGTTCCATCAAATAACCACCCAAGACAGTGAGAAAACTGAGTTATCTGCACAGCCAAGTACCAGTATCACACCTCAGCACTCCACTCCCAGCTCCAGCACAGACTCCCTCTCCTCCACTTTATCTTCCTCTCTTCAAATACCAGTGATTCAGACTCAGGCTTAGGGGCTAGGCCAGATATAGGGTAGGAAGGCTCTGTAGGACCAGATCTATATACCACACTGCTTACCCCTTCTCTCCTTGCTGTGACACTTCATCTCACCCTTGCTCCACCTCCCCCCCCCGGCCCCCCTGCTGAAGGAGAGCTGGCTTTGCAGGGGGCAGGAATGCAGGGACATTTACTGAAGGAGGGACATGAACAAAATATGACTGAATTCCCAGTCCCATTAGGACTTTTGGGCATAGCCCTGTTTAAATGACAGGGCTGAGACAAGGGTACAGGGTAGGAATGGGCAAAGGCCCTGATACAAGGTACTGGAGGCCATAGCTGCTTTATTTACTTCTAATGAAGTTGAGGTTGGTCCTAATTTATTTAAGCTAGATGAGGCAATGGTGGGGGGCAGGACCATGGTTCCATGGTTCCCTCAGCCTTCATGGGGAGGGAAGAAGGGAGCTCATTTTTTTATGTTGACTTTTTTTTTTCTACTGTTTTCCCTTTCACTCACTCCATTTGGGGCCCTGAGGGTGTCGGCCATCTCCCCATTTGTTCCCCTGGATTATCTTTCTTTTGACTCTTTATTTTAATGTGTCAAATAAGAAAATACTGGTTTTTATTTATTTTAAAAATTTTATTGGATGTGCATACAATGTTTGGGTCATTTTTCCCCCCTTCCCCCTGTACCCTCCCTTTCCCCTTGTTCCCTCCCTCTATCCCCTACCCCCTGGCTTCCAGGCAGAAACTGTTTTGCCCTCACCTCTAATTTTGTTGAAGAGAGAGTATAAACAATAATAAGAAGGACCAAGGGTTTTTGCTATTTGAGATAAGGATAGCTATTCAGGGAGATTCCTTGCATTGCTTTCATGTACATATGTGTTACATTCTAAGTTGATTCTTCTCAAACTGACCTTTTCTCTAGTTCCTGGTCCCCTTCTCTTATTGGCCTCTGTTGCTTTAAATTTTCTGCATTAGTTCCTTTGCATTGAGGACATCAAATGTTATCATTTTTTTTGGGTTTCCTACCTATCCTCATACCTCCCTTGTGTGCGCTCACCTTATCATGTGACCAAAGTCCAGTCCCCTAACTGTATTTGCCCTAGATCTAAAGTCTGCATATGAGGGAGAACATACAGTTTTTGGTCTTCTGAACCTGGCTAACCTCACTCCGGATGATGTTCTCCAGTTCCATCCATTTACTTGCGAATGATAAGATTTCATTTTTCTTCATGGCTGAGTAGAATTCCATTGTGTACAAATACCACATTGTCTTAATCCATTTGTCAGTAGTGGAGAATCTTGGCTGTTTCCATAACTTGGCTATTGTGAATACCTATGGATGTGCAGGTACCTCTGGAGTAACCTGTGTCGTTTTCCTTTAGGTATATCCCCAGGAGTGGGATTGCTGGATCATATGGTAGATCTATGTTTAGATTTTTAAGGAGCCTCCAAATTTTTTCCAGAGTTGTTGTACTAGTTTGCATTCCCACCACCTGTGCCAACACCTGTTTTTGTTGGTGTTTCTAATGATGGCTATTCTAACAGGGGTGAGGTGGAATCTTAGTGTGGTTTTGATTTGCATTTCCTTTATGGCCAGAGATGGTGAGCATTTTTTCATGTGTTTTTTTGGCCATTTGAATTTCTTCTTTTGAGAAAGGTCTGTTTAGTTCACTTGCCCATTTCTTTATTGGTTCATTAATTTTGGGAGAGTTTAGTTTTTTGAGTTCTCTGTATATTCTGGTTATCAGTCCTTTGTCTGATGTGTAGTGGTAAATATTTTCTCCCACTCTGTGGGTGTTCTCTTCAGTTTAGAGACCATTTCATTTGTTGAGCAGAAGCTTTTTAGTTTTATGAAGTCCCATTCATCTATACTTTCTCTTCGTTGCTGAGCTGCTGGGATTCTATTGAGGAAGTCCTCACCTTTACCTATTATTCCAAAGTGTTTCCTACTCTTTCCTGTACTGACTTTAGAGTTTGGGGTCTGATATTAAGGTCCTTGACCCATTTTGAGTTGATACTAGAACAGGGTGGTAAACATGGATCTAGTTTCAGTTTTTTGCACACTGCTAACCAGTTTTCCCAACAGCTTTTGTTGAAGAGGCTGTCTTTTCTACATCGTATATTTTTAGCGCCTTTGTCAAAAACCAGTTGGGTATAGTTGTGTGGATTCATATCTGGGTCCTCTATTATATTCCACTGGTCTTCAGGTCTATTTTTATGGGCACCATACTATCTTTTTAAAGTATTTTAATAACTGTCAAGATTAATTCTTGAAGCCATGATTAATTTTTTGACACTGTGCATGAGTGCAAAACTATGAAATGATTGAATTGTGGAACACGCAGATTAGAATAAAGAGCAGAAGGTTTTGTACAGCTAGTGAAACTTTCAAACTACTGCAGTGTGACTCTAGTGTCCACGTGTTCAACAACCACAAAACCCCTCGAAAAGTCAATCAAGTGTCAAACAGTATTGAAAAGGAAAATTTTCTAGATAGGGAGGGAATGAATCCATCTAAAATTACATTATATGAATCTTTAACATTTCATTAGCTTATTTAATAATTATCATTACTAAACAGCTATTCCTACTATCATTTATTAAAAAATAATAATTTTGTCAGCAGCATTTTCTTTTTGGTGGTACTGAAATTTGAACTCAGAGCTTTGTGCTTGCTAGGAGGGAGCTGTATTACTAGGGCCATGCCCTCATCTCTTTTCTTTAGGTATTTTTGAAATAAGGTCTAGCATTTATGCCCAGACTAGCATGGATCATGATCCTTCTATGTATGCTTCCCACAGTAACTGGGATAATAAGCATGCCCCACCACAGCTGGCTTTTATTAGTTGAGATGGGCCTTATGAACTTTTCTCCCTTCACTGGCCTGGGACTGAGATTCCGTCAACTCCATCTCCAAAGTCGCTAGGATTCCAGACATGAACCACAATGCTCAGTCAATAGCATTTCAAGTGGATTCACAGATCTGATTCAGTGCTTCAAAGCATCCCCAGTTTGTTAAAGTTTTGTTTTGGTATTTGTTTCAAGAAAGAACTTGGACAATGCATACAAAATATTTGCAACATATTACAAAGGGACTGTTTTACAAAGTAAAATTACAGTGATTCCTTCACAGCAATATATACTTTCAAATGTTTTGATTGAATTGCATATACTATTTCAATTCCCTATGTATGTCAGAATATATATATGAGGAAGATCCACAAAAACTTCCATTCTTATATGCACATTCTTATATACATCAGATCTTCAAATATATTGAATAAGATTGTAAAAATATCTGTGACACATGTTAGATTCCATGAGATATGGAAATTGAATCTAAATGTTCATGTTTTGTTTTGTTTTTTGCTGGCACTGGGTTTGAACTCAGGGCCTCACACTAGCAAGGCAGGCACTCTTACTGAACATAAATTAGTATAACCATTATGGAAAGCAGTATGAAGGCTCTTCAAAAACCTAAAAATGGAACTGCCATATGATCCAGCAATACCACTCCTAGGGATATAACTGAAGGAATGTGAGTCAGGTTACAACAAAGACACCTGCACAATCATATTTATTGCAGCACTATTCATAATAGCTAGGCTATGGAAACAAGATGTCTCACTACTGATGAATGGATTAAAAAAATATGATATTTATATACAACGGAATTTTACTCAGCCACAAAGAAGAATGAATTTTTGTCATTTGCAGGTAAATGGATGGAACTGGAGAACATCATCTTAAGTGAAGGTAGCCAGGCTCAGAAGGCCAAAAGTTGTATTTTCTCTCTCATATGTGGAATATAGAACTAATACAAATACAGCAATATCATGAAAAACTGGTCACATTCAGGGGAGGTCACATATGAAAGGTATAGGTCAAAGAAGGAAGATAAGAAAATGAATATGGTTGATACACTCTGTATACAAGAATGAATAGAATTATTAAACCAGCTGAAACCACTACAAGAAAGGGAATAAGAGAGAATGAAGAAAAATAGAGCAGATGAACTAATTGGGGTTATAATACATATATACCTAGAAATATTACAGGGAAACTCCCAGTATACTACCTTCATCTCTAGCAAAAATGTCATTACTTTGTTTTTTCCTCTACAAAATCATATAACAGGCATCTGAACAGGTTCTGCAAGTGTGTGGGAGGTGTTGGTACCAGTGGGAAGGGGGCGGTGGTGGGGAAAAGGGGTAGGAGGGGGTGATTAGGGGGCAAATATTGTGTACACATGTATGTAAATCCCAAAATGATACTTGTTGAAACCATTCAACTGGCATGGGAGGAGGAAAGAGGGAGGGAGGGGATAAAGGAGAGCAGAGGAAGTGGTGAATTCAAGTATGATATATTTGATACATTGTAAGAACCTCTGTAAATGCCACAATGTACCCCCACCCAGCACAACAATAAAAAAATGTGATTTCATTTTTTAGGAAGCATTTCATTATTGATAAAGCAACTTTCAAGTTTGCAAAATATTCTTTTTCTAGACAATGTTAGCCATATTTTACATAATACAGCTAGAGAGGTAAGCAATCAATACTTACTTATTTAAGACTATATCTTCTAAATAAATTTTCAGAGCAGAAAATCACTGTTTCTTGATTTTTTTCCATTAAAAATTTTGTTCTCTCCTTAGGAGTCTCCACAGAGCTCCTTTCACATCCTTGTTTCTTAGAGTATATATGAGGGGATTGAGGGTGGGAGTCACAACAGTATAAAAGAGTGTGAGGAACATACCTTGACTATGGCCATAGGATCTCTTTGGTTGAATGTATATGACTGAGCTGGTTCCAAAGTAAAGGGACACCACCAATATATGGGAACCACAGGTACCTAGGGCTTTGCGCCAGGCTTGGGCAGACTTAATTTTTATCACAGCCTGTGCAATGAATCCATAGGACACTGAGATCAATGCCATAGGAAGAAGGAGGAGAACTAATGTAGCCACAAACAGCTGGACTTCATTTGCATAGATGTCAACACATGCCAACTTGATCATAGCTGGCACCTCACACAAGAAGTGGTGGAGGTGGTGATGTCCACATCGAGGAAGCTGAAGGGTGATGGTACCTTGAATGATAGTGTTTCCTACTCCACTCACCCAGGCTATTCCTGCTAAAGCCTTGCAAAATGATGGGTTCATGACAGTAGTATAACTGAGAGGTCTGCAGACAGCTACATAGCGGTCAAATGCCATGACAGTAAGGAGAACACATTCAGTAGAACCTAGGGAAAGAGACACATAGAGTTGTATGGCACAGCCAGAGTATGTGATGGACTTGGATGGTCCCTTCAGGTTCCATAATAGCTGGGGGACAATACTAGTAGTGAAGCAAAGATCAAGAAGGGAGAGATTTGTGAGGAAGAAATACATGGGTGTGTGAAGTTTGGAGTCCAAGCAGGAGACCAGGATAATAGCCATGTTGCCCACAAGGGTCAGAAGGTAGGATGTCAGAACTACTATGAAAAGGATGATTTCCAACTGGGGGTGGTCTGAGAATCCAAGCAAAATAAAATCTCCATCAGATGTTTCATTGTTTTGTTCCATCAGTCTTCTAAGGGAAAAGAGAAAGGTGGACATTGGGAATTCAATCTAGTATTAATGTCACTTACATGAGGTATTTGAGATAAACTCTTAGATGAGGATTTTAGCTAGTGAAGTTACACAGAGAAGAAAATGAGAGATTATTTAAAGGTATTGTTAAAGACAATGGCATTCTTTTGTGTCATCATTTTTCATCTCAATAAACATTTGGCACATCCTCCTTTTCTCCATGTGCCCTTCTCTTTTCCCCATTTGTTGAGAGTTATTATTAAAGATAATCTACTTAAGAAAAAAACTTGCAGCTTGAGTGGATATTTATTCTGTTAAAAGAAGTAGATAAGGAAATAATATGTAATTGCTGAGATGAATTTAAGTATTCATTACTGAATACATTTTGAGTGACCACTGGCCATACTAACAAATTTTCATGCAAATATAATACATAACTGTAAGGTAGTTTTCAAGAAACAAGTAGAATAGTTTTTTTGTCTTTTCTTCTCACAACAGTTGTGCTGTTTCTTACATTTAAGTGTAAATGTAGCATAATTACAAGATACAAGATCAGATGCAGGTGAGTTTCAATAGAGAGGGAGGCTGAATAATGTTATGCTTTCTTCAACAATTGAAGTCAGAATACTTACCACAAAATATTTTTTATCTTTTAAAGGTGACAGGAAAATATATTTGTGGTATTTGCATATAAAAAACACACCGAACACAAACTTACTTACACAAACTTGTTGAGACAGATAGCCATAAGCTAATTTTGATAAAAATAAGGGAAAATTCACCTTTGCCATCTCATTAAAAGACAAGATGTTGGTATTTGATAAAACAGTAAGAAGGCAAAACATATATTTTCATCTTATTTTACATTTTTATGTATTATACTATATTCCACCATACCTCTTCACTTACTACTTTTGTTTTGTTTCTGGCTTTCATGATAGTATCTTATTGAACCATTTACTTTTAAGAATAATGCTCAATTTCTCAGTTTATCCAGTTATACTTTGTATTTCAAAAAGTAAAATTGCATCTGAAATGGGAACAATAAAGCACAAAATTTTCAGTTCTGGAGCTAATTATTTAGCTGTGTGTAGGTAATATAGAATTCTGCTCAGACATATAGATTCTGACATTCTACCTATTCCTAATAGTGCTTAACATAAAATGACAATATACCTTAGACTGATGAGTTGCAGTTTAAGTCACTAAAGTAGAATTTCAGCAATACTCAGAATCAGCAAATATTGTGAACATAATTTATTTCCATCACTTTAGGAAAATATCACAGTTTACATACTTTTACAACTTTAGAATCTACCTTAAACTTGAACTCTCAGAATGGAATGTTTCCCTAAATATACATTTATTTATAAACAGAAACGTAGAAATTACTAATTCACTGATTTGGTTTCAAATTTCAAAATCACTTAATTTTATACTATACCAGATTAAGAAACAACTTTAAGAATAAATGTTAGTATATTATATTTTTCAGTTGTTTACGTTAAGAGATAGTAAAGTTTAATGAGTTGATAACTTTCTAGATTACTTATTATAATTATTATTCAGTTTGCTTTTTGTTTGCAAATCTTCATGTTTCATTATTTATTGTAATATTTTTCTTTTTTCCAGCTTTATTGTGCTATAATTGACAAATAAAATTTGAATATACTGATCAAGTACAATGAGATGATTGTATATGTGTACATTATAAAATGATTAACACAAACTAACTAATTAACATCACATAAGAGAATAACATTAGTATATATACTGATGAATCTAGTAGAATCAATATGATATGAAAGTCATCCAACTGAATCTCTCATATCTTCCTAGTACAATCTTCTAAAATATTTTTAAGACATTTGGATTATAAGGCATTCAAGGAGAGCCTCCCATTCCTTCTCATTACTTATCCTATGTTTTATTCTGATTATGTTGAAGAGTAACTCAACGCTCTCCAATCTGCTGAGAAGCAGCTTATACATTGCAAGAGCAGTCATTTACCTTCTGTATAGTTCAAGTCTGACTTGTGGCTTGAATGGAGTCCCTGAATAGAATCCAAGAAAAGTGATCATAAATTAGTGTGTGAGTGTGTGTGTGTACAATATACATAATTTCAACCCAAAATATTACTGAAAATGTACCTTTCCAATCCTAAATATAAACAAGACTCTTGAGTGACATTTGGAAAAGAAAGAATTATCTAGATGAAAAGTCCTATTATTTTTGCAAAACAATCAAGAAGCTTTTACCTCCTGAGTATTTTTTATGATTTTCCTTGTGGAATGAGCAATGGTTATTTTTAATGAAGATGTGCAGAGTTCAGACCTCAGAAAGGACTACTGATTTAGGCAGTGCTGACTGGTATGACTGCAGGCAACTCAAGAGAAGATATAGTAATGATACACTGAAGTTATTGACATCCTCTAGGCCCTCCTCCTCTCCTTTTACATTTATTAGCATGTAGGGAACATGGCTGATGATATGACTTTAGCATGTTGGAGTTTCTGTCCTGTAGTGACTATCATTGCCTACTACTCACAAACTAGCAAATATTTCTTATGCAGTTTTCCTTAGAGAAAATCAGATTAGAGGAAATGAAAAATACGTAGGATATAGATTCTCCCAAGACTTTGGGGATCAGTATTTCTAAATTGCTAATTACCATGGAATTCATTAATGTCCAGAACTTTGCTTTCTCAAGTGAGCACATAAGAAAAGCATCTCTCAACAAGATATAGAATTCTTCTCCTGCCAGAAAATACCATAGACAAGTTCTCTCACTCATACTTAAATCCCTGCATTTTACATGGTTTGTATGTATTGCTGTAGGTCTAGGAAAAGAAAAGGAAACAATGTCTTGGCTGTATATTAGCTATATAATTGAATCAATAGTTCTTGTCTTTTTCAAAACCAGTTATTTTTGTTAACAATAAATATTTACAGTAACAACATGACTCAATTATGTTTAATTATAAGGATACACCAAGTTATTTGAATAAATTCTACATTTATGATCATTAGATTTTTTGATAATTTTGCTGTGAATTGTAAACTGCAGAGATGAAATATTTTAAAATTAAATTTTTTATAATCAAATAATTATAATTGAATATGTAAACACATTGTGATATGTTATATGAGTTTTATGTATTTTTATTTGTTATAAGCTGCAAATATAATTTTACACTTTAAAGAATTAAAAAAATCTATTTCCCATAACCTCAGTGAATAAGAACCCATCCCATTTATTCTAGTTCAGTGATTATTCTGTGTCATAATCAGTTGTGTAAAAAGTTACACACTACAATGGCTTTTTATTTGCCTTACAAACACCTTCCAATTTCTAATTTTATGCAAGTATTTGTGTAAATTTTATCCCTATTCTCCAAGCGAGATTTATAGTTCACAGTGAAATCTTTATATATTTAACCCATTCATGCATATTTTAGTTAAACTAGTGAGTGAGAAATCTAATACTATCATTATATTTGTGAATTATAATTTAATCCATTAAATGATATATGTTGATTTTCTTACTGATTTGAAATGCTAGTGGCATGAAATGTTATTTCAAAATACTTTTATTTCAAAGCTTATGAATCTTTCTCAGAGATACATTCACTGACTGCAACTGTTCATACAATTTTTATTCTGTTTTTGTTACTGCTGTATTTTCTATGTTTTAGCTTTCCATGATTTTAATGCATATGGAACTCCACATTTTATAATCTTACACAATTATTGTTTTAATAATATATTTAGTAATAAACTCAAAATTGGCTTAAATATGTGTGGTGAATGTGGGAAATGATGATATGGTTGATTTTTTTTAGTGTTTGTGTAATGAATAGAACAGTAGATTAGATTTGGAGACAAACATTTTTACCTGTTGAGTGATTTTCTTATTATCCACAAGACAATACTACTATGTCCACAGAATTTCTAAAATTAGTAAGATATTTTGAATTTTAATCAATGCTATTTACCAATGTGCATTTCTCTTTGCCATCGTTGGGACAGAGACCCAACTGTAGAACACTCTACTCTGAAATAGAATACCTGGCTAGGAATAATTTTTTTTAATTTTTAAAATATCATACAAAATATTTCCTTTTGATTTGTGTTAATACACACATGAGAGATTGGACTGGACTTGTATTTTTGAACTATATGGTTGGCTTTAGCATCATAGTAATGATGGTCTTCAAATAATGAGATTTTCAACTTTTTTCAAATATTCTATAAGCAATTTTAAAGTGTAAAAGAAAAGAAAATGTGCATAACATAGTCATTAATAATCAAAAGTACATAGAAACTGGAATAACAAATAACGCAGAAAACTTTGAAAAAGCTTCTTAAAATTCACAACAGTGTAGTAGACAACTGGTGTAATCAGACAGTTGTACATTGGTCAAGTCAGCTTTGTTTTCAAAATCTGAACTTTCTATATGACTCATTAGATGCAATGTAATTTTAATGAGAATTTTTGTAGAATTTTTGAGAATAAAGCAAGCTAATATTAAATAATTTTTAAGGAACAATTTTTCATATTTAGCTAAATTAATTTTGAAAGAATGAAAATGATGAATTTGATTTTCCAATATTAAACAATGGTGCCCAGCCACATTGTAATAATAATGGTGTAAGAAAATCTTAATGACTAGTTAGATAGACTAGAAAACTCAAAGCAAAACTAGAGACTGTATATAGCACAGGACCAGCACAAATCAAGGAAAATATTTTAGGGTATCTTTTTAATAACTAATTATGTTGAAAAAAATTAAATTGTATTCCTACTTCATAATCTCCATAAGCTAATTACTATATCTAAAGGGTAAAATATAAATCCAACTAGAGGTAATGCAGCAAATTATTTTTGTGTACTTAAAAATGGGAAGATTGGAAGATGTGAAAAGTATAGAAAATAAAATGAAAAAATGTGAGTTCATGAAATTTTTTTTCCTATGACAAAACCTGCTGGTACA